CGCCTCGCCCCTAGGACAATTTCACCTCCCCTAGGACAATTTTCTCCGGACTTTTGACCACCACCACCTCCCCTTTTAAATCTCATATAATTTCAATTATAAATTTTAATATTTATAATACATTTTAATTTTTTTATTTTATCTAAATTTATTTTATATAATTTTAAAATATTCTTACTTCATTCATATTTTTACACACTTTCCTAAAATACAAAATTATTATTTTTCATTAGCATATTACTTTACTATAGGGTATTACGATCAAACTTATATTCCATGGTATTACATAGTCACTTATACCCCATTCAGACTAGCATCGCATTGCGATCGGTTGTAGCAATTGCGACACCCAATCGCACCCAATCGCAAGGTAAAATCGTGTCTGAAAGCTCACCAATAGCAGTCGATATGTAATCGATATCGCAATTGTTACCCGTTGCGATTGGGTGCTACAATCTTTATTACTCCCGATTACCACGGAATCTGATCGCAACGAATCACAACGAATTCCACAGGCACTGTTTGGCTGAGGTCAGGCAACATAGGCCTAGCCACCGGAGGCCAGGCCCTAGAATGTAAAGTTTGTGTTGGTCTGAATGCGTTCGTTGATTGCGATCGGGAGTAATCAGTTTTGAATTACTACCGATTACATCGCAACCGATCGCAAGAGAGTGTAGTCTGAATAGGGTATTAATCTTCCGCAGTCACCAATGTTAATAAAGATTTGTTGGTTTTCTATTTTTAAAATAAAAACCTCAATTGACATTTTACTTCAGCACCAATTTGTTTTTATTTTGTTTCTCTTCAGCTTCAGTTTTATAAAATGTGTTCTTATCAGTATGTATAATATTGACAGCTTAATGTCATTTTTCATACCATTGTTATGTTTGTATGATTATTAAAATCCATGTCTTCAATATCATATCATAATTGAATGATGATGATGTTAATAATAATAATAATAATAATAGTAATAGTAGTAGTAATAATAATAACAATATTAATAATAATAGCCTAATAATAATAATAATAATAATAATAATAATAATGTAATAACTATAAAGAGCATATGTAATAACATTGTTGTTTTACATGGATAATAACTTAATGATAGTAATGATTATAACCTTACTTATTCTGTATGGATAATAATTTAACTATAATAATGAGAATGATAAAAATGTAATATCTATAAAGAGCAAATGTAATGGCCTTGTTTATTCTGCATGGATAATATTTTTATAATTATAACAATAATTAGAATAATAAAAATTTAATAACTATAATGAGTAAATGTAATAACCTTTTTTATTCTATATGGATTGCATTATTATATAAATTGAAATAGATAATCAAAAGTATTCTAGTTTTATAAAAAAAAATAATTACATGTATGTAAAAATTATAGCTTGGTAAGATTTCACTTTCAGTACAGTAATTCACTTCTTATTTTGATATTTTGCTGCCTAAATTTGTATAAATATTTTCCATATAAATATTGTTGTACTTGTACAATTGATTTAATAAAGATATAGTAGAAAAGAATTATAAATCTGGATATATTCCTTGTATTTATATTCTTGTTTTATCTAACTCATAATGTATGGGGTCACTGATGATGGGGTATACAATATTTACACATTTATATATTTGTATGCTCCATGTCTATATTTTACAATATTATGTGTAATAGTTTAATATGTTGTTGACTTTTCTATGTGAAAACGGATTGCATAAAATGAAAAAAAATAATAATTTTAAGTTCAAAGAACATCTCATAGTTAAATATAAACATAAACATTATAGGTTTATTCTGAATTAATATTCAAAACAAATTAAAAAAAAAAATGTCTATTTAACTTACTTCAACCATAGAATCACACCAGAAATTCCAAATTTGAAGGCAAGAGGCGTCCTCTATGGAGAATGAGATGGGATCTCTGCATGATGACACTTTCTGGAATATTTTTATATCCGTCACTTAATTTTTTTCAGATTTATATGCGCCTGATATCAATTTACCTGAACACGCCGTAGAGGGTGATTTGTTGGATATCTTTTGCTCAATTGCTACTGCATATCCTGCTCCAATACTTATTCTTTATAAGGGTCGACAACCGATATATTCTACGACTGGCACTATTTTGAAACATACCATTAGCAATGCAACAAGAAAAGATACTGGTGAATATATCTGTCGTGCAAATAACGATGTTGGGAGCAAGGAGAGTGACACCAAGAGCCTAAATATTCATTGTGAGTTTGATTTTGTGTTTGCGTTAGTGAAAAATGTTCAATAGTTTATATTGTTCTGCTAAACGTAACCTGTCTTTTAAACTTTGTTACAGATATAGATTGCCAACTAAAAAGTAGTTTTAATAGTACAGTGGTAGAAGGAAAAACTCTGTCCATTTTCTGTCACGTAAATGCTAATCCGAATTCAAATTATACTATATACAAAAATAACAACCCAATCAAAAGTGGAATTGGAGATCTTATGGTATATTCCATCGACAATGTGAAACAAGAAGACGCTGGAAATTATCACTGTATGGTTACAAATTTTGCAGGGACTGTTACATGTGGAAAGAGAAGTATATTTGTTACATGTGCGTGATGATTAAAATATTTTAAGCCTATATAACAGTAGCAATTTAGTGGGGCCTAATTATAATATGGGTGCAGTTGGAAAGAATTAAATAATTCATACAATATATTGTTTAGTAGAATCTCCTGGAAACTTCCTTTTTACAAAAGAACTAGTCATGTCCAAAGTATCTTTATTACGTTTTGTGTATATGTTATTTGTATCAAATTATAAATGCGCTATGTTCATTCTAAATAATAAAAAAATTGTAAATTAATGATGATAATAAAAAAACAATAACAATAATAAGAACAATGAAATTATCATTAATAACAATAATATTAATAATGTTGATAAATAATCATAATGAAGATAATGATTAATAGCACGTAAAATAACGTATTAGAATAAGTATATTTTCTGCAACGAAAGCGTGATAACGTTGGTGATGATGAATATGGTAATGATGTTGTTTTAGTCCACTACACTATTTTAACCATAAAGAAATGAATAAATATTTATGATTATACATTCATATTTAGACGTGAGGATATTATCTTTTGCTTGGTTGGACGGTGTTGCTACATGTGTTGCTGAGGGTGATTCATGTCCCACTGTTACCATCAGTGTAAATGGGACGATTGTTTCAACTGGACATTCTCTGACTTCAACCGGGATTGAACCAGAGGCCTGCAAACCAATGGGAACCGTTATGTGTAATGCATCAAATGAAAAATCCATCGCCGAGCCACAGAGCCTAAAAAAGTGCACGGGTAAAGTATTCAAAATTACAATAGTTTAAAGTTAATCTGTATATTTTCATATTTTGATATATTAAAAAAAAACATTAAAATACAGAATTTAAAAAAAAAACTGAAATTGTTGATAGTGTTACATTTACAGGTATATAATGTTTATTATATAGGCTGCAGTGATAATGTTAGTATGTACGGACATCATTTTATAATGTCAGGTCTATTCTCGCTCAAATTTTACAATTTCATTAAAAAAATAGGGCTACTGTACTGAAAATATACGCCAAATTAAATTAACAGTTTAACAATGAAATTATTGCAGAACTCCATATAAAAAAATTGGGAGAGGAAGGTTTACTGTTAATTTATATTTTTTTTAAATCGGACTAAGACTTAGAATTTAAATACAGTTCTCTTTTTGCTGGCTCATATTTTTTAATGTAATTTTTGATGGTGTTCAAAGATGATAAAATAATAGTTTAATTTACACAGTTCATTCAGGTACTACACGACGGTCACCAGATATTCTAGTTCATCAACTCACTGCAGGGAGTGTTGGATTCTTTGTCGGTTGTACCTTACTAATATTTGTATTTTGTATTGTGGTAAGTACAGTAGCTTTCCAAACACACAATGCTACTCAGATAACATCACATGTGTTTTGTCACCTCAAGGCCACACATTTTCAACCAATACATTTGAAAATTAAGTAAGGTGCCTGAAAATGACGGGCGAATAGGGGTGGGGGTGACTAAATCAGTGTGACTAGTTTATTAGTATTTTCTAATACTTTGAACATTGCGTAATAAGATGATGTAGCTTTCAGAAATGTTATAATTAAGTTTCTAAGTTAAGGAAGGCAAGAACTAAAGGGAAATAGAAAAGTAAACAGGAAAGGAATAAAAGAAAGATGGCCGAAAAGACGAAAAATATAGCAAAAGGAAGTGAAAGAAAGGAAAGACAAAGAGGGGGAGGCCAGGGGAGAGGAGAGGTGAGAAGACAAGACATATGAAAAGTAATGTGAGGAGCAGGATAATACTCAGGAAAGGAGGGAGGAAAGGAAGATAAAATGAAAATAAATATTTTGCATTATTTTATTAGTATCATAACATACATTTACATTAATTACCTTGACAAATAGGGCTATTGATAAACCTAAACCCATTTATTTCTTTATTCAGAGAAAATTATCATCTTCAAAAGCGGTAAATAATAATGGTACTGAACACCAATGTCAACCACATCAATCAATTTACCAGTCTCTCATTAAAAACGATGGCAAGGAAATGGTAAAGGAGTTAGGTGGCAGGGAATTAAGAACACAAGTCACAAAAGAAGGTTCTTATCTAGACCTAATTCAGTCTACCTCACGTCATATTCGCTATAATTCTAATGATAACAAGGACATCGAATTGAAAGATATTTCAGAAACAACGTATGAGCATATTAATTAGAAATGTCAATTTTATCTTATACTGTATATTATATTAATGAAATAGTCATTTACATTCATGACGCCATTGTATTTAATATGACCGTGGCATAATACCTTATTGTCTTTATATCCAATCACTATGTTCGATTGCAATAAAGTATAAATTGAATTTTGAATTATTTTAATAGATCCCTAAGTCATGTACTGTAGATGAGTATTAAACTGGTATTAAAGATATTCCTAAATTTATTCCATGTTGGCGTTGCGGATGGACGACACCATCGAAGTCGTCGTCAACATTGTCTGTGTCTTTCGTTATGACACCTTTCATTTTCAAAAGTACTCTACTGGCATATATCCGTGCTCAGCACGGTGTTGAATGAGTGGGAAAAAGTGGCAATGTATATTATAGTTGAATATTTCTTTCTGCCAGTGCACCATTATTATGGAACCAGCTCCCAATATCTATTAAGGAGGCAACGTTATTATTATTATTATTTATTATTATTTATTTTTATTATTATCATTATTATTATATTTATTATTATTTTTATTTTTATTATTATTATTTTTATTATTACAAAAGACTGAACGATACATTATACCGCATTGGCTAACTTTGCAATTCCTACCTTAGTCAAACTAATGAATAATTCCATGTTTGATTATAATGTACTGTACTGCAATTGCCATATATTTTTGTCAATTTCTTTTATGGTTTTATATTTATATAGCGCCTTCCACGAACCAATAAGCCTATTGTATTGTTACATTTTTTTCCTAACTTGTTTTTGTTGTAATTAATTTTAATTGTAATATTTTAAAAAATTAATTGTAATATTTTAAAAATTCAATGACAATTGTACATAGGTTTAATTGGTTGCTTGTAATAGATTTAGTGTTAATTTTATTCAAACTTTATAACTGCTGTATATGAGACTTATTAAATTTGAATTTTCTTGTAATATTAATTGATTAAATATTTCTCTTCCATTTGTATTGCAAATTCAGTGAGTGTTTTAATACAAATAAATGAAACGAAACAGATATGTGTACAACTAAATCTATCCACATAAAGATTTAATCAATGATTCAGTAGACAACACATACAGTATATTATTATTAGACTAACATTTTTATTTGGGATACAGTAAAGCACGGACTATTGGAAATTTTAATTACCAACAATACAGCGAGAAATTTGTGTTTTTAATTCGAAAGTGGTACCCCAAACCCACTGAAACTAAATAATGCATAAAAGCTATTATATTGTAAGGCGAGAATTTTTTTAAACCTTGTTTTGCAAGCTTATTTTTTATTTATTTATTTTTTTTTAGATCCCCAAGAGGGCGGAACAAAATAAAAATAAAATTTTGTTTTCTTATTTAGCAAAGTGGGTGGGATGATTAAATGCTCTAAATTTATATAATTAGGAAGAAATTTTAACTTCATTTTTTCAAAAAAATTTCCATTTTTTTCGTGGTGGCAGGTGCCCTAATTGGTAAAAAATAAAATTATATTTTTATTCGAAATCATAATTATTGGTGCAGCGGGATCGCTAAACAAGGTTAAAAAAGTCTGACCTAGACAGTGCACAATTTTAATTGGCTTATATACCGTACAATACTATAAATGAGGTTCTCTCATTGGCAAAAATATTGTGTTGCACAAGCACAGTAACATTTGGAAATCATGGTGGTAGGTTGGCATTTTTTCCTTCATTTTGCTACAATCCTTTAAAAACTAAAGCTGGAAAAGTGGTATTTGAAATATTAGCCAAGTATTTTGTGCTCCTTGGTAAACACAGGGTTGTAGCTGTAGAAAACTAAGTGTGGGTGATAGACATTTTAAGAGTGGGTGGGTGATACCACTGGTAAACTCTAATAATAGTAAATTTCAAGGGTGGAAAAGTTGGTTAATAAGGGTGGGTGGAGGGACATTAGCCAAATTAGCTTTAGACTGGGTGGAAAACTTCAAGGCTGGGTGGCCCCTGCCCACCTCCGCCCACCATAACTACATACCCGTAAACAACAATTTGTTTATGGGGATCTACCTCTAGATAATCAAGAGTCAGCCAGGTTTCCTAATGCTTCCCCCCACCCCAGGAAAGCTGAATACCGGGCAGGTTTCAGCTTTGAGACAATGAGCAATCTGGCATTTAATGCTTTATATATAAAGTGATACAAATGGGCAAATAGTGTTCAAATTTATTGTGATGCAATACCTTATCTTAACGAGAGAGCAAACTGCTCAATAGCTAGCTGATTAAAATTTGATGACACATGTTTAAGCTTGTGTCTGCTCAAACACAGCCTGCAGCCATGGAATCCAACATCAGCATTGATCCCTGATGAGGCTATAAATATAATTATCCACGAGCACATACAATGATGTTTAATCCTTGTCTCCTTAAATTGATAGCATGGTATGGGACTAAAATCATCAACATTTAAGAAAATATGAGACTTAACCAAGTACATCAAGAAAAAATAAATTAAACAAGATAGGTTTCAATTTCATATTTATATTTCTTGACTTTCCTTTCTTTTCTTTTACATTCTGATTCTTAACCTGTTTAATTTTCATTTTCTTTCCTTTTCCGTATTATTTGCTTTTCCTTTTCATTCTTTTATCTTACTAATCTTTTCATTTTCACTTTTTTTCTTTTACATTTTTCTAATGATAATAGCCCTATAGATGACCTGCCTTATTTAAGTATACAGATCACAAATTTCAAAAATATTACAAAGAGTAATGATGGACACTAAAATATTTTAGATCCTAGATGAACAAACTTTTAAAGACTGTAAATATTATTATGCAAGAGCACAAGCAATGGCATTGTACGATGTTGTAACAAACTCTTATAATACCTTACTTATTTTATTATACAATAAAATCTTTAAAGATTTAATACAAGAGTTCAATTGCTTGCAAGTGCATTTTATAGAAAAAAAAATCTAACCTTTAGGATACTACAAATCAAATCCCTTAACACTATCTTTAATAATGTCTTGTTATTAAATAACCATGTTTTGGATTTAATTTAAACTTTAAACGAGCATATGTTGTCCCTGGTCACCATCACCTTGGTTCTGAAATATAATTTTAGAATAATATTTCAAAATAAAATTCAAGTAAAATGAATGTGATTGCAATAAATAATTAAATGTTTTAAGTTGCATATTAGCTCACTTTTGTATATGGCTAGAAAAAACAAATTGTATTTATACTTTGAAATTCTATTTATAGAAAGAAATAGATGTGAATCAAAGTCTTCACTGTATGTGAAGAAAATGAAGACTTATTGACATGATGCATTATATATACTTACTTATGATAAGACTGATTATCTTATAGATATTTATACGTTATTTATTATGTTGCAATAAAAATTAATGAATATCTAGTGTTGACAAATTATTTCACCTTTTTCTGGTTTCTCGCATTTCCAAATTTTTTCTTCCTATAAACAATAATTAAAAAAAATACTTTTTAATATATCATCATTAATATCAGAATATTATAAATTTACTTTGATTTGCATTGTTTACAAAAATTGTAAATACGCATTTACACATATATATCCCAGATAGTGTAGAGGGCTTTAAACTCAATACACAGTATATTAGTTTTCAAATACTGTATGTCCCTTTACGGGCATTTACACAGGCAAAAATGGGAAATTAAAATGCGGGAGTTACTTAAAAATATACATACTAAAACATTCCTAATGTTATCAAATAAATGTCCAGAAGTTTTCTGACCCGTTTGTAGTACACTAAAGTACAAAAATCTATATTTTAGTGCAGCAAATTTTTAGTGATTCGGAGAAGAAGCCTAGCTCATTAAAATCTATGTGATCTTGGATTTGCTCTAATGTAGCTATGTTGGTTACAACACGCGCTCACCAATTTGGCATGAACCCATTTTTAATTGATCACTTAGAGCAGGTCAATTAAAACACAGAGAAATAAACCCGATTACAATAAATTATCAAAAGAGAATATAGTTCTTACACAATTAAGAACTCATTGCTTCAAAATTTAGTTACAATGTTGTTCCACAGAGCAGGTGGTGGCAGCGAGTGGTGAGTGGAATTTTCCCATCTGACAGCCCTGGACCCCATCATCCGACAAGGTTGTTGGATCAAAAATTTAAAAAATTATAAATTGCCTATCCCCACAATTTATTTGATTGCCAATCCTTAATACTCTGCTCTAAAAGCTCAATTTGGGCCATGCTAAACCATAAAAAATCCCCCCCCACCCCCACAATTCCTGAATACTACCAGGGATTTATTATTTGGGGGCCTGGGACATGTCAGACCTCCTGTCCACAAAATTCTGGAGCCACCACTGGTTCAACAGTTATTTATTTTCTTGTCTTACAACAATGTGATAAACATTTTACTAATTTTTAGCTTTATACACTGTGATGTGGCAAATCATCTTCTTCTTTAAATATTATCAATCCTATTGCCGAAATATCGACAGTGAGTAAACTTACTTGGGGTTTGCAAAGACATTTAACATATTCAGAGGGGGGTCTGTGGATACAAAAACTTTTAGAACTACTGGTCTATATGTTAGAAAAACAAGAGCATCAATGATGCAATAGCCCACTTGACAATAGCTGGCAATGTTTAAGTGCTGTCGGTGGGTGGAGGTTGTGTGGAGTGTTGTTATGTGTATTGAGCATAAAGAAAAACATTTAAAGTTAGAGTTAGTTGTATGCATCATCATAGACCTTTTTTGTTATGTTCACTTAACAGTTAGGAAAGGTGCGATGTCGTGTACAGTGATATTAAAGGAAATATGGTTGTTGTAAGGTTTGTTGTGTACGTAACTTTTTGAAATATTTTGTACTGTAATTATGAAGATATTTTGTGTAGAGGTTTATAATATAAGTAGAGAGTTTGGTGAGTGAATGGAATTTGTTGAATAGAAGTATTTCATTGTGAAGAAATATATTTTTCCAAAGGCGCATTATAATTACGT